CAGCAGGATTTGGTCTCATCAGAACTATTTATATTAAATTTCAAGGCACTGATAAACAAATTAACTTCTGTGCACATACTAACCTCTCTGTATACACATGCTCTCCCAATGTAACTGCCCTCCAGACTGACTGCAACTGCCAAGTCAGTTAGAGGACATTAGTTTTGCTGCAGGCACATGGAAGTTTAGATGAAGCCAAGTAGTTGCAATTTATGGAAAAACTTGCATTGTATTTTTACTCTGTCATATAGATTATAACAGAAGTAAAATAGAGGATAAGTCTCTTTTGTATCTCATGGTCTACCTAGGTGCCCTCCTGTTAAAATTAAGGTGATACCTGCATTCCCAGCCACAGGCACTAAACCTACCAAAGGGTTTCCATTGGTAGAAAGAGCTTCCCCTACCAGAGGGGAGCAGTGGTGCCACATTTGCCATTTGAAACTTTTTCCACTCCTTCTGCCAAAGCTGTTCTTAGGTGTGCAGACACCTCCTGGAGGAAGGTCTCTTACCCTTCAGCTAGTGACTTGAGTTCACTGAGCTTTAGGTCTCAAGCCCAAGTTCCAATAAGGAAATGACTTAAAAGGGACTATGACTGTTCTCTTGGAACTCCAAACTAAAGACTCTTGAACTGTTTTTAAAAAGGGAATATGTGCTTTCACTTCCACTAGAAAAACATAAAAAATGTCTCACTGGACAGGGTGAAGGTGGGGACAGAAATAGTTGAGTTAAATATGACCATTCTCTGTATCAAAGCCAAAGTTTCCCTTTCTCCTCCTGCAAACCAATGGAAACTGGGAACGTTCTTTCTAACTGAATCATTTACAGATTAACAATTGCAGAAGTCACTGCTATTTTGTGTGCAATGATACTGAGGTTATTCTTTTTTAACTGTATTTGAAATGGCAAAAGATGCATCTTTAATTTGTATTCTTTAAGACACTAATATACTACAGACACTGTATCTCTGGGTGGTTTTAGCACAGAACACTGAGCAATTTCCAGAGAAATGCCAGTTTTCTAGTGTATTAAAAGTCAGTCAAGAAGCCCTGATCTTACTACAAGCCCTGAAACAGTCACAGTGTCGAGCAGGACACTCAGCTTCAACTTCTCAGTTGAAAAATGAAAATAATGCACTCTGAGTACAGATGTACTGAGAGTCATGAAGGTTTTTAAAATTCTTTGAAGATATAAGAAGGAATGTAGATATCCAGAAGATCACTCGTGATGTTAGATCTTTGCTCTCTTTTCACCAGGAAAGCCCAGTCTGAGGTCTTCAAGGAAACAAGGAAGGAAGCCCTCCAGAAGTGGATTAAAAAGGCTTTTATTTTCCTGAATAATGCAGAGATAAACTATATCTATGTTTTTATTCTATAAAAGCTGAACTTGCAAGGCAGTTTAGTTCCTTTTTTTTTGTTACCTGGCATACTGGTTTAAACTTCTCTACATCTTATGAGAGTTCATTTTGTAGTATCTCTATTTAGCTGAGTGGTTGAAATACTGAGAAATTGATTTCATTTATTTTTTATAATTCTTTTTTTTCTTCCTTTTGCATATCCATCTGAAAACATTTAGAGTAACCAATATTGATCAGGTCGCTCAATAAGTTAAATATTGGTTTTATGCAAAAAACTAGTTATGTTGTTACCAAATGGGCTGCACTGCAATTGTTTTGAGGCAAACAAACACATCCCTTCTTCAGCTCACATATCTATCCCAAGTGTATCTCACTCTCTATTCTGAACAGTGAAAAGGAATTTATAAAACTGGTGAATTAGGACCACATTTGCCTTTTAAGCAAAGAGAATGAAACTGGAGTTTTAGCTGTCCAGAACTAAGTATTCCCTCTGACTTGTACATGATGCACCTGTATTAATTTATGCGGCTGTTTAGTTACAAGTGTTGCAAGCTGATTGTAAGTCATCAGTATGTGCCTTGTACTGTAAACTGGTATTGTAATAAATTTAATATTCATAATCAATCTGTAGATGTCTCTTCTGCCTCTCTCTTATGGGAAGAACAAAGGTAAAACTCCATCTCAAGGCCTCTTTGACAAAAAAGCAGAGGATTTGCTTCAGTGTGTGAACCTTTGTCCACAGCTGAATACTCTTTCATTCTATCAGAAGGACCAATGCACATTACATGTGTGTACACAGCACAGCAAAACCAAACTGATCCACATTTGGTGTAAGTGCCTAGCTACTCAATTAACTTACACATAAAACTCATACCATTTCAAGTCTTTGTAAATTGACAAGCTTTACATTTAATTTTACTCACATTTTATCTCACTGTAAAGTCTGCTATAATATTAGAGAAACCCGTATCAAGTATTTTTTTTGTATTAGTTCACCTTATTGTAGCATGGAAGTGATAAATTTGCTGCAAAACAAAGTGAAATAAACCATTTTAAGAAGTGTTGAAAATGTATTTTTATAACTATGACCATTATCAGATATCCTACTAACCAAGTTATAGCTTGGACATCATGAACCTTTGAACAGACAAACTTACAAATCTAAAATATCACCTCCAAACTGAACAAGATATGACTGTAATTCATGAAAAGACTCACATACCTTATTTCACACACAAAAAAATGCAATAAAATAACAAGCATTAAAAAAGACCCATGCACTACTATGTATCTCACAGTTTATTTGTTTCTGTACATCAGGTCCCCCAAACCAAAGCCCACACATAAATACAAAATTCTTATGCCAATATACTTACAAAACAACTCCTAGGTTATTTTTCAGTCTTTTTTTTCCTTGCTTTTTCCCCACTTTTATGGGTGTGGTTCTCAAGTTTTGAGAGCATCACTGGGCAACAATGACTCCTGCTAAGGGCTGAGCACATCTTTGCTTCAGCAGAGTTCACTTTCAGCTGCTGAAAGGAATAGGGGCTGCCCTGAGATGTTTTCCTTCTGTACGAGTCCATGCAGCAGTGGCTTTTCCTCTCCGTTGAGAGGTGAAGTGTTTTTGTCCACCACAGGGACATTAATCTTCTTCCTTCTCAATGTAAGACTTGGCACTGACCCGGGCCATCTGCCTTGCCAGGTAGCGGTCCCTGGCTGACATGACTGTCTCCTCATTGCTCCGTTTGGCAAACTTGCTCATGCTCTCAGAGGGTTTTGGTGCTTGGTCTTTCTCCTCTTTCTCCCCTTCTTCTCCACCTTTACGTTTCTGCTCAGACAAAATTGCAGAGCTGGATCTTCCCTTCTCACTCACCTCCCTCTCTCTTCCCTTCCTCTCTTTTTCCAGACTAGTCTCCCTATCTTTTTCTGAAGATGCAGGACTACTTTCCCTCCCCTCTCTGTATTTCTTCTCATCACTACCATGTTTTTCTCTCCTCTCCTTCACATGATCTTCCTTTTCTCTGCATTTCTCTCCTCTCTCCTTCTCTTTGTCACTGTACCTATCTTTACCATTTCTTATTCTTTCTTTCTCTCGTTCCTTTTCTGAGCCCTTTTCATCT